TTATATATTTTGGAGATCAGACCTTTGCCAGTTGCGGGGTTGGTGAAGATCTTCTCCCAGTCAGTAGGTTGCCTTTTTGTCTTTGTGACGGTGTCCTTTGCTTTACAGAAGCTTCTCAGTCTCAGGAGGTCCCATTTATTCAATGATGTCCTTAATGTCTGTGCTGCTGGGGTTATACATAGGAAGTGGTCTCCTGTGCCCATGTGTTGTAAAGGACTTCCCACTTTCTCTTCTATCAGGTTCAGTGTGTTCGGACTGATATTGAGGTCTTTAATCCATTTGGACTAGAGTTTTGTGCATGGTGATAGATATGGATCTATTTTCATTCTTCTACAGATTGACATCCAGTTTTGCCAGCACAATCTGTTGAAGATGCTCTCTTTTTTCCATTGTATACTTTAGCTCCTTTATCGAAAATCAGGCGTTCATAGGTTTGTGGGTTAAAGTCCAAGTCTTCTAATCGATTCCATTGGTCGACTTCTCTGTTTTTATGCCAATACCAAGCTGTTTTCAATACTGTAGCGCTCTGTAATAGAGTTTGAAGTCAGGGATGGAAATACCTCCAGACGATCCTTTATTGTATAAGAATATTTTGGCTATCCTGGGTTTTTTTGTTTTTCCATATAAAGTTGATTATTGCCTTCTCAAGGTCTGTGAAGAATTTTGATGGGACCTTGATGGGGATTGCATTGAATCTATAGATTGCTTTTGGTAAAATTGCCATTTTTACTATGTTGATCCTCTCAATCCAAGAGCAAGGGAGATCCTTCCATTTTCTGGTGTCCTCTTCAATTTCTTTCTTCAAAGACTTAAAGTTCTTGTCAAATAGATCTTTCACTTCCTTGGTCAGAGTTACCCCAAGATATTTTATGCTATTTGTGGCTATCGTGAAAGGTGATGCTTCTCTGATTTCCCTCTCTGCTTCCTTATCCTTAGTGTATAGGAAGGCCACTGATTTCTTGGAGTTGATCTTGTATCCTGCCACATTACTAAAGGTGTTTATCAGCTGTAGGAGTTCTTTGGTAGAGTTTTTGGGGTCGCTTATGTATACTATCATATCATCTACAAATAACGAAAGTTTAACTTCTTCCTTTCCAATATAAATCCCCCTGATCCCCTTATATTGTCTTATTGCTATTGCTAGAACTTCAAGCACTATATTGAAGAGGTATGGAGAGAGTGGCCAGCCTTGTCGTGTTCCTGATTTTAGTGGGATGGCTTTGAGTTTTACTCCGTTTAATTTGATGTTAGCTGTCGGCTTGTTGTAAATAGCTTTTATTATATTTAGGTATGACCCTTGTATCCCTAATCTCTCCAAGACCTTTATCATAAAGGGGTGTTGGATTTTGTCGAATGCTTTTTCAGCATCTAATGAAATGATCATATGTTTTTTTTCTTTCAGTTTATTTATATGGTGGATTACATTGATAGATTTTCGTATGTTGAACCAGCCCTGCATCTCTGGGATGAAGCCTACTTGATCATAATGGATAATTTTTCTAATATGTTCTTGGATTCGGTTTGCCAGTATTTTATTGAGAATTTTTGCGTGGATGTTCATGAGTGAGGTAGGCCTGTAATTCTCTTTCTTGGTTGGGTCTTTGTATGGTTTTGGTATCAGGGTAATGTAGCTTCATAAAAGGAATTTGGCAATGACTCTTCTGTTTCTATATTGTGAAATACATTAAGGAGTATACGTATTAGCTCTTCTTGGAAGTTCTGGTAGAATTCTGCATTGAAACCATCTGGTCCTGGGCTTTTCTTGGAAGGGAGATTTTTGATAATAGTTTCTAATTCTTCGCAACTAACAGGTCTATTTAGATCGTTCACCTGGTCTTGGTTTAACTTTGGTATATGGTACTTATCTAAAAAAAGAATGTCCATTTCTTTTGCATTTTCCAGTTTTGTGGCATACAGGCTTTTGTATTAAGATCTAATGATTCTCTGAATTTCCTCTGTGTCTGTGGTTATGTCCCCTTTTTCATTTCTGATCTTATTTATTTGCGTGTTCTCTCTCTCTTTCGTTTAATTAGTTTGGATAGGTGTTTGTCGATCTTGTTGATTTTCTCCAAGAACCAACTGTCCTTTTGTCTCAACTTTCAGTGTTGAGTTACAGGTGTAAGCCACCACACCCAGCTCTGGGCTCTTGAGTATGTCAGCCTTTGTTGCCCAGCTTATGCATGAAATGTGGAACGTGGATCTGGGCCTTAGGAGCTTTGGAGGGAAAACCCAACATTCCGTGATATCACACACAATTTTTACAGTTTCCTTAGTGATATTGTACAACACTGAGGGCTGTGAAAAGATTGCTTTTATTTAAATTTTTTGAAGGGAGATTAATATTTTACTTAGTAGAAAAAAGGTAACCCTGAATACGTAGCATAAGTACAAATAGCAAATAACTCCACGGAAAAGCACCCTGGATGCAGGAAACTGAAAGGCGAGGATTAGGAAAGCTGAAGAAATGCTTCTAAAAATACTGTCTGTGCTATTACTTCATAGGGGAGAGGGCAAAGAGCAAAAGTCAAAGCTAGCATTCTGAAATTTTAGATTGTGCAAAAAGTACTTTTTCTGCTAGTAAGAAGCACACAGGATTCTGAGCTGATGAGGAAATAAACCTCCAGGAACACGTGGTGACCAACGAGGTGACTGGAACCATGGCATGAACTGCACCATGAGGAGCAACCATCTAAGCCTTGGATTCACTGTCACGTGGAAGACTGATCTCCAGAGTCACAGACAGCCCCAGTGACACCAATTAAAGGAAAAGATTGGTAAACAAGGTAAGAGCACACACAACACCACATAGAGGAACATGGTGACCTACAACAGCAAGACTTGAAGAACCAAATATAGATGAAGCAGAAGAAAATGACCTATAAAATAACTTTAACAGAATGTTTAATGCCTTTAAAAAGGAATGAGAAATTCCTTCAAAGAAATGGAGAAAAAGACAAACAAAAAATTAGATGATATCAACAAATCCCTTAAAGAAAACTAAGAAAAAGCAATCAAACATATGAAAAAAACTATTCAAGACTTGAAAACTGCAATAGAGATTATAAAGAAAACACAAACCAAAAAAATTATAGAAACAGACTTCATGAGAAAATGATCAGTAACCACAAATGAAAGCATAAACAGCAGAATACAAGAGAAAGAAGAGAGAATCTCAAGCACTGAAGATATAATAGAGGAAATAGACTCATCAGGTAAAGAAAACATTAAATCTAACAAAAGCTTAACCCAAAATTTCCAGGAAATATGGGACACCATGAAAAGACCAAACCTAAGAACAATAGGTATAGAAGAAGTTCAACTCAAAAGCACAGAAAATATATTTAAGAAAATCATAGAAAAAAAAACTTTCCAAACCTAAAGAAAGATATGTCTATAAAGATACAAGAAGCTTACAGAACACCAAATAGACTGGATTAAAAAAAAGTCTCATCACCACATAATAATCAAAACATTAAACATATAGATTAAATAAAAACTAATAAGATCTGCAAAGGAAAAAGGCCAAGTAACATATAAAGGCAAAGCTATCAGAATTACACCTGACTTCTCAATGGAGACAATGAAATCCCAAAGGTCCTAGTCAAGTGTTATGCAGACATTAAGAGACCAGGGATGCCAGCCTAGAGTATTATACCCAGCAAAACTTTCAATCACCAAAAAAGGACAAATCAAGACATCCTATGACAAAACCAGATTTAACCAATACCTAGTCACAAACCCAGCCCTACACAAAGTACTTGAAGGAAAACTCCAATGCAAGGAAGTTGACTACATCAACAAAAATACGCACAATTGATGGTCTCACAGCAGCAATCCCAAAGAAGGAAAAAACACACAAATTAATATCACCAACAATGAAAACTAGATGAACAGGAGATAGCAATCACTGGTCATTAATATCCCTTAATGTAAATGGACTCAACTCACCTGGCAAACTAATGGAATATGTTTTTTGTTTTTGTTTTTTTTTTTTTTTTTTTTGGTTTTTCGAGACAGGGTTTCTCTGTGGCTTTGGAGCCTGTCCTGGAACTAGCTCTGTAGACCAGGCTGGTCTCGAACTCACAGAGATCCGCCTGCCTCTGCCTCCCGAGTGCTGGGATTAAAGGCGTGCGCCACCACCGCCCGGCTTTCGATTTTGTTTTATTTCATCATAATTTGTTGTCAGAAGCTGGCCAGCACTAACTTGGAGGCTTGGTCCCCCTGTTACCAAAGACAGCCTCAAGCTACTCTTCCACAGCGTTGCTCAGAACCTCCTAAGAAAATGGCTTCCTGAATCCAGCTCACTGAGACACTTAGATTAGCTTTGAATGAAATGAAATTCCTCCTCCCAGAAGCACATCCTTGATTGTTTCTAGATACCACAGGAAAGAAGTGTTTTTAAACTCACATAGTGTCCTTGAGTGGGATGTGAGCTGCTCACGGGTCTGAGTCGGTTCAGAATTTGGTGAATGCGAGTGTAAATGCTTGCCTCCCCAGTCAGGGCCAAGGAGTCACTCGGCAGGAATAAATGTTCGTGAATGTTTCTAAGGAAAAGATCACATCAGATTTTCATCACAGAAATGTTCCTTTAAGTTCTGAACTAGCATCTAAGCATACAGGTAAAACTGATGCAGTCACACTGTGGGGCTGGGTGCGGGAGCAGAAGCATCCAGAAAGCATGAGGAACTGAAGAAAAGGAGGCCTTCCTTTCCCACAGGAACCACTGCGGTCAAACCCACAGACTGAAGCAGACTCTTCATGCCCAAATCTGCATGCCAGCACTTCCTCAGTGAGGTTAGAGAGTTTGCTTGCTGGACGAGATTTTTAAGACAGGACAAAGGCTACAAATCCATCACAGTTTTAAGCCCCTTCCACCCTCTTAACATCTGGAGCAGCGAGGGACTCCCATGGTCACAGGAGTGGTGTGCAGCGTCCTGTACTGCATCTGCAGACGCTTTGATGCCTCTCTTCTCTTTCTGGAACACAGCGACTGTGTGAAGATTCCTGGGCTACTCTGATCCAGAAAATTCTAGACAAGATGGCCTGCTTCCTTCTGAGACCCAACACAATGAGTGCCTGGGAGTTCACCAGGTAAACATAGTCTCATGAGTGAGTCCCGTGAGCGTGGCCTAAGGAACCCTCAGTGGAGCCAGGCTGAAAGTGATGCCTCATGGAAGTGTGAACAATAATCTCACAATAACAGTAACAATAATTTCCTTAGTCACTCCACTGTTCAGTGGTTTGTTATGTGGAATTGACAACCAATACACTAACATCCCCGAGCCTCCCTGGTCTCACCTGTAAAATGAGGAAGAGAACTGCTTCCTCTGAGACATCGTCAGTTCGGTTCTGATGTCAGCGAGGTTCTTCTGACCCCCTTTGCAGTGCACCACAAGGCCCTGGTGCTCAGCTCTGCTGCATGCAAGCAGAGCAGGGTCTGAACCATGGGCAAGTGAGGCCCGGTGCCTGACGCTGGGGGCAAAGTGAGGAGCACCCCGCAGCATGAATTAGACAGCATGGTTATACGAACAACGGTGTTCAGGGAGAGGGATGGCAAGTTTGCCACAGGGGGTTGCCTTCAATTCCAGGTGGGGATGGGGCCTGTCAGCATCCCTGTGTGAGGATGTTGATGAGGCAACATGGTCCACCAATGTGGGGTGGCCTGGGAATACTCTTGAGCCTTGCAAGGAGCCACAGGGCTGCACCAGCTGAAGCCCTGTCCACACCCCCACTGCTCCCTCCTCTAGGGATGTGCCGCCACCTCCTTAGTAGAGGAGAGCTGGCCCATGCTCTGTCTGCTACGGACAAATGATTACTTTGAACCCTTGTAATTTAAGTACAGAAATAAATTTTCATGTAAATTGTCCAATAATGAACACAAATAGACTACAAAGTCATATGATTCTATTGTTTTGTATAAATTCATGTATATATTTGAGATATTATTAACAGCGCCCTGACTTCTTTTTTACCATTTTTTAAGTTTAAGGTTTATTTAGTTTTACTTTTTTTTTTAAAGATTTATTTACCTATTATAAATAGATATTCAGACTGCATGTATGTCTGCATGCCAGACCAGAAGAGGGCACCAGATCTCATTCCGGATGGGTGTGAGGAACCATGGGGTTGGTGGGAATTGAACTCAAGACCTATAGAAGAGCAGCCAGTGCGCTTAACCACTGAGCAATCTTGCCTACCCACACCTCAGACTTGTACCTAAAAACATCCCACTGCATTTTCCCCTGGCATTCTCACCTGCTGTGTCCCGTTCCTCCACACGGGGGCAGTAGTGAAGCTCAGCAGTCAGTCAGTGGGGAAGATGGGAAGTGGGGAGGAGCTGCTGAAGGCTCCAGGCCTCCTGGCTGGATCTTTCCCCAGTGTCTTTCCCTGCACCGCTTCCCGTGCTCGCAAATTTTCAGAATAAAGGAGGAGACATCGGTGATGCCTAGGTGCAGAGACCTGAAGGAGTCTGTAATATAAATCCAAAAAAAAATTCAAAAAAAGCACACGATTATAATTAACTATACAAGTGCCTCACTCTTGACCCTGGTTGTGGTGCATGCTTTCATTCCCAGTACTCAGGAAGCAGAAACAGGTGGATCTCTGAGAGTTCCAGGCCGGCCTGGTCTATAGAGTGAGTTCCAGGACAGCCATGGCTATACAAAGAAATCCTGTCTCAAAACAAAACAAGACAAAATATTTTTTTTAAAAAATGCTAAAAAAAAATGCCCCACTCTAGATCCTCATGAAAACCCAACACACAGATGATGTGTGTTCATATTTCACAGAGAACACACACAAAGTAGCCTAGAAGCGAGGCAACATGGCAAGGGTTTAAGGTGTGCTGGGGCAATTAGGGTTGGGTTAAGAATTCCAGATGCAGGTCAACAATAGGAGCTCAGATTGTAAAGCCGAGGTGCTGCCTGTACCCAGACATCCCTAGGAGCAGTGAAATAGGAAGCACCTTTGTAACTGTGTCAAGTAGTGCACGTGGAAGGAGGGAGGGGGCCTAAGAGACTTCTGGGAAAGCCCTGTGTGAGGAGACTCAGGCATGGGGACCCCAGGAGTGACCTCACTTCCTTAACAGTGACATCACAATGCAGAAACCTGCAACCAGGCAGCCAACTGCTTACAGACAGCCCAGAAGGCTCACTTGTCTCGAGACAAGAGTGACAAATAGTCATGAGTTGCTGTAGCTGGTGGAGTTGCTGCTGCTTTAGTAATGGGAAAAAGAAACACAGAAGCCGTGGCCTAGGAGGTGCGTGGAGACGCCTGGTTCGCACTTGGCGCCGGCACCTCTGGCCATTCAGCCAAATGAGAAGGGGCAGCGAGAGCGAGACCAACATAGGCCAGGTAACCACTCTGAAATCTCGGTTTTCCCAAATTTCACTCTTGGTGTTTGGCAGAGTGAAGGGGTCAGGAACACGTGGAATGATAATAACCAATCGTGAATTGCAGTCCTGTGCCAGTTTGAACCACCCACACTGATCTTTCCTCAGGTGGCAGAAGACCAGAAGAACCGCTGCCCTGGGGACCAGAAGGAGTTAGCCCCCGGGGACCTTACTGAGTCCGCCCCCAGGGCCCAGAAGGAGTGCCTCTCCGGGGACCCAATGGTCTCCTCCCCGGAGGCCCAGCTGCAGTCCCTCTCCAGAGACCAGATGGGCTCCCTTCCTGGGGACCAGATGGGCTCCGCCACGGAGGACAAACCTGACTCTGTACCCGGGAACCCGACTGGCTCAACATGGGAAGACCAGCCGGAGTCTGGCCCCAGGGACACGATGGGCGCCACCCCAGAGGACCAGACAGACTCAATCCCCGGGACCGCCACTGGTTCTGTCCTTGGGGACCCAGTGGGCTCCACTCCTGAGGACCAGCCGGACCAGCAAGGCTGCGTCCCCGGGGACTCAGTGGACTCCACTCCAGAGGACCAGCCTGAGGCCGCTCCTGGCGAACCCATGGGCTCTGACACTGGGGATACGATGTGTTCGGCCCCACAAGACCAAGACCTGCCGGAGTCCATCCCCGGGGACTCGGTGGACCCTGCCCCCGGGGACCTGACTGAGTCCTTCCTTGGGGACCCAGTAGACTCTGCCCTGCAGGACCAGCTGGAGGACCAGAAGGATTCAGTCCCAGGGGACCCTAAGATCTTAGACTTCGGGGATCTGGAGGAAGTGGTGGAAGACATGATCACTTCCCTTCAGAATGGGGACCGCGAGCATCTCATCACTTTCCTGAGCACCTACCCTGCTCATACCACCATCGAGCAGGTGCTGGATGTCATCTTCAGGCGGTGAGTGCCCACTTCCGAGCTCAGAGGCCTCACATCCTCTTGTCGTTTATGGGAAGCCTCTGCTTTTCTCTGAGCCTACCTAGTTGCTAGAGTCTTGTCAGAAGCCAGCAGCATGTAGTCAGACATTACTACCTCCAGGTTGGGCCCTAGGGACTGCTGTGACCCTAATGAGTGTGAGTGTGGGTGTCCTCTGCACCTTCAGGAAGCTCTCTATCCTTGGCCAGTTTTCCTGAAGCATTGGTCAAAGCGCTTCTCCCATTGTAAAGGAGGTTCTAGAATTCATATTGGAGCACCCGATAGAGATGGGTCTTGAGTGGAGACCCGAGGAGGATAATCCGAGGGAACCTGTGTCCACTGAGATGTCCGGGTAGACATACTGCACAAACATATTTGAAGCACCTACAGAATGCAGGTGAACTAATAACCTGAGACTTTGATTCTGCTCCAGGAGTCAGCAGGCTCCCCAGATGTCTTTTAGGTAGGGAACTGGGACCCCACAGGTAACATCCTTCCTGATCTTCTCCAGGTATGCATGCTTCCGCCCCGGCTGCCAGGAGGATGAGCAGCTCAAGAAGTAAGTGAGCTTTACAACATGAGAAAGAAAGGCCTTGGCTCTGCAGGGTGGGCTCCCTTGGGTACCAAGAATGAGGGATGGCTGATACTTGGGGCTCACGCTCCACGTTTCTACCACCATACACCATACTGAGGTCTAAGCATTGACTGGAGGGTGAAAAGAACTGCATGGGCACGGTCCTTGCCAAGTGGGGATATGGGGAAAGCCTGTGGCCTCCGGTGGCCCTCTGAGACTCTACTACCCTCATCTCAGTCCATGGCGCTCAGCTGTGCTCCATTAGAGCCTGATCATGGGGCGTATGGATTTCCCTGCTCCCATGGACCTCTCAGCCCTGCTCATTGTATGGCTAAGGGCTGGATAGCCTCTCCTTTGCAGTCTCACATGCACGGAGTCTTGGGCGGGGTGGCAAAGGAAAGTCCAGGCCACTGGGTGCCCTGTCTGTCCCGTTCCACCAGCACCCTCTGCACCCTCCTGGACACGTGGACGAGCGTCTTCCCCGGGGACTTTGCCACAACATCCGGCTTGTCCGCGCTGAAGAAGGTAAAGACCTACCTGATAATCCACCTGCCTTACTCGGACGTCCTCATACGTGTGCACGAGCTCCTTACGAGACTGCTCTCAGAAACTTCAGAGGAGAGCGATTAACAAAAAGCCAGGTAGGTGCTTGACACTGTGAGGAGGTCTCAGGACCTGGTCTCAGGTCTCAGGAATGATTGGGGGATTGCCACACCGACAACAGTGTCGTCTGTGTGACATGACATACGTCGTTATGCCGGTCTGGAGCTGTGTGTCCTATGGGACCAGGCTTCCTGGAGGTCCATGGCAGACGGCCTGGTATAGGCCGCTGTTGAGGCATAGATGGGTTTCTCGATTAGCTGGCTATGCAGGATATGGGCTTTGCACGATCTCTTTTATGATAATGATATTCTTTATATCTACAAGACAAGGATTATCTCTTCAGGAACAGCTCTGGGATAGGGAAGCACAGTATGGGAATGTATAAGACTACAGCAGAACCCTTGCCATACACGGGGGTGTATGATGAGCAAGGGAACAGAAGGGTTAATGTTGATGTACAAAGAGCGGTATAATATACTATGAATTTTATGGATAGGCTTGCTAGATCCCAACCCCCATGGTGTCTGCTGCATGAGAAGGTACAAAAACGTATATTTCGGCAGGTGCAGAGAGCTGTCAGGCACATTTGGTCACTAGATGAGATAAAGAAAGGGTTAGAAAGAGGAGTTTGGGGGAGGCCCAGATAGCTCCTGATCTCTTATTTCCTGTGGCGTTTGTGAGTCATCGAGCTAACTGTGTCTGGTTCCAGGGTGACACATCTGGAGACTATGAAAACTCTGCTGCTGCTCTGTGGAGAAGAGGACAACTGGGGGAGCCAGGAGCGCATGGTGCCGCCGCCTCCATCAGCTGCCCTCAGCGACCTCAGCCATGCCCTCCTTCTTGTTCCTCACAAGCTGCCTTACTCACGCGAGCATGCTAATCACCAGATGTGTCACAGATGACAATAGTGCACCCTCCTGATCTCCCTCTTGACAGTAGTGACGTCCTTAACCCCTGTGTGTGTCTTAGTTATTGTTATTGTCTGTAGCGGGGTCAGATTGCTTTTTATAATCTTTTTAAAGCATCTTTTTTATTAAGTTAATAAATAAGTCTGTGACCTTGACCAGAATCTTAGCTGTGAAATTGTGAACTCCTGGAAATGCTGTCAATCAGGCTCAGTGCTTTATCAGACCTACAACATTATGAAGGTCATATCAGGAAGTTTAATGACAAATAAACAAACATTCCCTTCCCTCGGAATCCTGTGTGCATCGACAAAGCTTATCTAACATTGATGCTCTTTTGAAACCTGGCATTTGACAGTGGCATTGTTAAAAGCTAAAATTATAGTACATCTTGGAGTACTGAAAATGCAGCCCTGCCAGCAAACCAAATTTCCTAATGGAGCAAGATGAAGGATGGTGAAGGCATGGCGGGGGGGTGGGGGGGTTGGGGAGGTGTCTGGGCTGGGCGTGGGGTGGAGTGGGACTCAGGTGCAAATTTGTGCGCACATGTGTGGAAGGGTGTGCGTGTGTGCATATGTGCATGTGCCTGTGTGTGGGTACGTGTGTATATGTGTGTATGTGCATGCATACGCGTGTGGGGTGTGGGTGTGTGTGAATGCGTATATGCCTGAGTGTGTGTGTGGGTGTGTATGTGTGTATGTGTGTACGTGTGTGTGTGTGCATGCATACATGTGTGGGGTGTTTGTGTGTGTGTGAATGCGTATATGCCTGAGTGTGTGTGGGTGGGTGGGTGGGTGTGTGTGTGTGTGAGAGAGAGAGTTTCCTGGTGATGAAGAGGAAAGAGGATTATTTCCTCATCAGCTCAGAATCCTGTGTGCTTCTTACTAGCAGAAAAAGTACTTTTTGCACAATCTAAAATTTCAGAGTGCTAGCTTTGACTTTTGCTCTTTTCCCTCTCCCCTATGAAGTAATAGCACAGACAGTATTTTTAGAAGCATTTCTTCAGCTTTCCTAATCCTCGCCTTTCAGTTTCCTGCATCCAGGGTGCTTTTCCGTGGAGTTATTTGCTATTTGTACTTATGCTACGTATTCAGGGTTACCTTTTTTCTACTAAGTAAAATATTAATCTCCCTTCAAAAAATTTAAATAAAAGCAATCTTTTCACAGCCCTCAGTGTTGTACAATATCACTAAGGAAACTGTAAAAATTGTGTGTGATATCACGGAATGTTGGGTTTTCCCTCCAAAGCTCCTAAGGCCCAGATCCACGTTCCACATTTCATGCATAAGCTGGGCAACAAAGGCTGACATACTCAAGAGCCCAGAGCTGGGTGTGGTGGCTTACACCTGTAACTCAACACTGAAAGTTGAGACAAAAGGACAGTTGGTTCTTGGAGAAAATCAACAAGATCGACAAACACCTATCCAAACTAATTAAACGAAAGAGAGAGAGAACACGCAAATAAATAAGATCAGAAATGAAAAAGGGGACATAACCACAGACACAGAGGAAATTCAGAGAATCATTAGATCTTAATACAAAAGCCTGTATGCCACAAAACTGGAAAATGCAAAAGAAATGGACATTCTTTTTTTAGATAAGTACCATATACCAAAGTTAAACCAAGACCAGGTGAACGATCTAAATAGACCTGTTAGTTGCGAAGAATTAGAAACTATTATCAAAAATCTCCCTTCCAAGAAAAGCCCAGGACCAGATGGTTTCAATGCAGAATTCTACCAGAACTTCCAAGAAGAGCTAATACGTATACTCCTTAATGTATTTCACAATATAGAAACAGAAGAGTCATTGCCAAATTCCTTTTATGAAGCTACATTACCCTGATACCAAAACCATACAAAGACCCAACCAAGAAAGAGAATTACAGGCCTACCTCACTCATGAACATCCACGCAAAAATTCTCAATAAAATACTGGCAAACCGAATCCAAGAACATATTAGAAAAATTATCCATTATGATCAAGTAGGCTTCATCCCAGAGATGCAGGGCTGGTTCAACATACGAAAATCTATCAATGTAATCCACCATATAAATAAACTGAAAGAAAAAAAACATATGATCATTTCATTAGATGCTGAAAAAGCATTCGACAAAATCCAACACCCCTTTATGATAAAGGTCTTGGAGAGATTAGGGATACAAGGGTCATACCTAAATATAATAAAAGCTATTTACAACAAGCCGACAGCTAACATCAAATTAAACGGAGTAAAACTCAAAGCCATCCCACTAAAATCAGGAACACGACAAGGCTGGCCACTCTCTCCATACCTCTTCAATATAGTGCTTGAAGTTCTAGCAATAGCAATAAGACAATATAAGGGGATCAGGGGGATTTATATTGGAAAGGAAGAAGTTAAACTTTCGTTATTTGTAGATGATATGATAGTATACATAAGCGACCCCAAAAACTCTACCAAAGAACTCCTACAGCTGATAAACACCTTTAGTAATGTGGCAGGATACAAGATCAACTCCAAGAAATCAGTGGCCTTCCTATACACTAAGGATAAGGAAGCAGAGAGGGAAATCAGAGAAGCATCACCTTTCACGATAGCCACAAATAGCATAAAATATCTTGGGGTAACTCTGACCAAGGAAGTGAAAGATCTATTTGACAAGAACTTTAAGTCTTTGAAGAAAGAAATTGAAGAGGACACCAGAAAATGGAAGGATCTCCCTTGCTCTTGGATTGAGAGGATCAACATAGTAAAAATGGCAATTTTACCAAAAGCAATCTATAGATTCAATGCAATCCCCATCAAGGTCCCATCAAAATTCTTCACAGACCTTGAGAAGGCAATAATCAACTTTATATGGAAAAACAAAAAAACCCAGGATAGCCAAAATATTCTTATACAATAAAGGATCGTCTGGAGGTATTTCCATCCCTGACTTCAAACTCTATTACAGAGCGCTACAGTATTGAAAACAGCTTGGTATTGGCATAAAAACAGAGAAGTCGACCAATGGAATCGATTAGAAGACTTGGACTTTAACCCACAAACCTATGAACGCCTGATTTTCGATAAAGGAGCTAAAGTATACAATGGAAAAAAGAGAGCATCTTCAACAGATTGTGCTGGCAAAACTGGATGTCAATCTGTAGAAGAATGAAAATAGATCCATATCTATCACCATGCACAAAACTCTAGTCCAAATGGATTAAAGACCTCAATATCAGTCCGAACACACTGAACCTGATAGAAGAGAAAGTGGGAAGTCCTTTACAACACATGGGCACAGGAGACCACTTCCTATGTATAACCCCAGCAGCACAGACATTAAGGACATCATTGAATAAATGGGACCTCCTGAGACTGAGAAGCTTCTGTAAAGCAAAGGACACCGTCACAAAGACAAAAAGGCAACCTACTGACTGGGAGAAGATCTTCACCAACCCCGCAACTGGCAAAGGTCTGATCTCCAAAATATATAAAGAACTCAAGAAACTAGACCGTAAAAGGCTATTCGACCCAATTATAAAATGGGGCAATGAGCTGAACAGAGAATTCTCAACAGAAGAAGTTCAAATGGCCAAAAGACACTTAAGGTCATGCTTAACTTCCTTAGCGATCAGGGAAATGCAAATCAAGACAACTTTAAGATACCATCTTACAGGTGTCAGAATGGCTAAAATATAAAACACCAATGATAGCCTTTGCTGGAGAGGTTGTGGAGAAAGGGGTACACTCATCCATTGCTGGTGGGAATGCAAATTTGTGCAACCACTTTGGAAAGCAGTGTGGCGGTTTCTCAGGAAATTCGGGACCAACCTACCCCTGGACCCAGCAATACCACTCTTGGGAATATACCCAAGAGATGCCCTATCATACAACAAAAGTATATGCTCAACTATGTTCATAGCAGCATTGTTTGTAACTGCCAGAACCGGGAAACAACCTAGATGCCCTTCAATGGAAGAATGGATGAAGAAAGTATGGAATATATACATATAAGTGTACTACTAAGCAGTAAAAAAGAATGACTTCTTGAATTTTGCATGCAAATGGACGGAAATAGAAACATTATCCTGAGTGAGGTAAGCCAGACCCAAAAAGTGGAACATGGGATGTACTCACTCATATTGGGTTTCTAGCCATAAACAAAGGACATTGAGCCTATAGTTAGTGATCCTAGAGAAGCTAAATAAGGAGAACCCAAAGAAAAACATATAGGCATCCTCCTGAATGTTAACCTTCATCAGGCGATGAAAGGAGACAGAGACAGAGACCCACATTGGAGCACCAGACTACAACCCCAAGGTCCAAATCAGGAGCAAAAGGAGAGAGAGCACGAGCTAGGAACTCAGGGCCATGAGCGTTGCACCCACACACTGAGACAAAGGGGATGTTCTATCGGGAACTCACCAAGGCCAGCTGGACTGGGTCTGAAAAAGCATGGGATAAAACCGGAATCACTGAACATTGTGGACAATGAGGACTGCTGAGAAGTCAAGAGCAATGGCACTGGGTTTTGATCCTACTGCACGTACTGACTTTGTGGGAGCCTAGGTGGTTTGGATGTTCACCTTACTAGACCTGGAAGGAGGTGGGAGGTCCTTGGACTCCCCACAGAACAGGGAACCCGGTCTGCTCTTGTGGCTGATGAGAGAGGGGGAGTTTATTTGGGGAGGGGGTGGGATATGGGAGGCGGTGGCGGGGAAGAGACAGAAATCTTTAATAAATAAATAATAGTAATAATAATAATAATAAAGATGTTGCAGAAGGGCACAGACCTAGCAGGGCTGCTGCTTCTGCTGCTCGTCCAGCATGGCTACCCACACACAGCAAAGCCAAGCATGAAATCATAGCCTAATAAAGGCACTTCCCAGCAAGGCCTCAGCCAACATTAGCTCAAATGGAGAGAAACTAAGAGCAATTCCACTAAAATCAGGACCAAGACAAGGCTGTGCACTCTCTCAACACTTACTCGATATAGTACTTGAAGTTTCAGCTGAAGAAATAAAACAACTGAAGGAGACCAAGGGGATGAAAACAGGAAAGGAAAAAGTCAAAGGAAAGGAAAAAGTCAAAGTATCCTTTTTTGCAGATGATATAACAGTATAAGTAAGTGACCCTAAAAAGTCCACCAGGGAACTCCTACAGCTGATAAGCACTTTCAGCAAAGTAGCCAGATACAAATTAACTCATAAGGAACAGTAGCCCTCTTATATACAAATAACAAATAGACTGAGAAAGAGGTTGGGGAAACAACACCCTTCACAATAGTCATAAATAATACAAAGTATCTTGGGGTAACTCGAACCAAAAAAATGAAAGACTTATATAATAAAAAAATTTAAGATGCTAAAAAAGA